CGTTCACTAGTGATTCTTTTCTCTGCATTTGTCTTTATTTATGTCTCACTTCTATCTCTTACCTTCTTTGTAACCACGTTATCGTTTATCTCTTCCAATATACTCCATTTCTCTTTTTAAGAACACTGTAATAGTTGTTTATTTTTTCATTTGTTTGTGGGGGTTTTTTTGTTGGGTTTCTTATTTGCTTGTTTGTTTTAGTGGAAAGGTACTTTTACTCACTTGCCAGGTTTACAGAAGTATTTTTCCAATCATGTTTTACACCTTTTTTTTAGACATCTTCATTTGCTTAGCAAAAACATGTCTCTTCCATGCAAAGCTTTAGTTTACTGCTGCTTCTCTTGCTGGTAAAAAAACATTTTCAAATCACTTTTCAGCTTAGGTTCTGTCTGAATAGTGAAACTTCACTGCACAACCATTAATAGAGAAATGAAACTAATTAACAAAGCCCATATGTAATAAAACAAAAAAGGGAAAGGGAAGAAAAGTTGTTTGGTATTTTTGCTCAAGTAATCTTAGGATTTTATTATAAAGCATAATAACTGTACAGTATTCAAGCTGAAATCTCCTTTTCTGGGCAAGGATAAGTACCTCTTAAAGCTGGTTTTGAGGCATACCTTGTAATCTTCTTGGCAAATCTGGTGGTGACATAGTGTGCTTTTAAAGCATGGCACAAAGGGTTAGAGAGAATTGTTGCTTGTTTGGAAAAAAAAAAAGGGGGGGGGGGGAAATCCCTAATTTCAGGATTAGGTTTTAGGATTGGCAGCTAAGCACAGGCACTCATTTTTTCCTTGTAACCTGAGAAAGTAACTGTCAGACACAATAATCATGGAAAAATAATCCCTCTTCTCTAGCATTTTTATCATGCTTTTCGTTGTACCTGCACATTCAGCAGAAGTGTACTGGGAAGCCATGGGTTAGCTGGGACAGTCACTGTCTGTCCACTCTGCAGGAGTCACGTTGCTTTGCTCCTTGAAGACAGAAAGGTGAAGGTAGCTGCAGTATACTGCATAAAAGCTGCAGCTTTCCTCATAGATGATGCTACGTGTGAGTTACTGAAGGCCTTGTTATCTGTGGAGAAGGACAACCTCGCTGATTGCTGCCCTAGAACAAGACTGGATGCAGAATTTAATTAGAAACAGCTCTGTAGGGGCTGGATAATTTCATATTTTCTTGCTTTAACAAACGTTCAGCAGTCTGAGGAGCGTGATCAAGGAGTATAAACTGCTAGTTATATTTTGGCTTTCTCTTTTAAGAAAGCAAATGGTACAGCCTCCAAAACCAGCACAAACGTGTACCAACAGTGAAGTTGATATAAATCCAAATTCTTGGCTGTACTTGAACGAAGTGCTGTCTGCTTGAAAACCTGTTATACATCCCCTCTCAAACGCCAGTGTGCATTATTGTTATTCCATATCTGAGATAAATACCCTGATTGTGATAAAGTTACTTTCATAATTAGGAGTCAGGATATGATTATAACGTCCATGATTTTTGTCTTGCCTTGATCCCTCTTGTTCCAGATAGTTTAGACTTGCCACACCTGTAATCACTGTAAATAGCTGCAGTCATTGGAGCACAGTTGTATTTTTCTGGAGGAGGCTGGAAAAGCGTATTTTAACCTGATGCACTCACTTCTTTTTATATGCATATGCCTGTGCAATTCCCAGCACAGAGTTTGGCCCTTGTCGAAAATACCTTTTGGCATACATCAGTTATAACTAAGCCAGTAGAAACTTGCCCTTAGCTTTGGCTGAACAGTAACTCAGTCTTGTCTGGACTCTGTTTTTGGTGAAGTGGCAGGAAAAATCTCAGTTCTTTTTTGAGCCAACTCATAAAAAAATGTTTCTTGCTTTAGCATGCTTTTTTAAAGGAAGCTGAGAAGTTTATACTAAATCAGTTATGGTTTTAGAGTAAGCTTACAAGTAAATAATAAATATTTGGTGAATGAAAGCATGTCCATAAATGTTACTGCTATAAGGGTCTATGTACTTGGGAACCACAGTAGTGATGTAGCCAGAATAATTAAAAAAAAAAAAAAGAAATTAATAAAACTTTTTTAAGTTTCTCTTTTTTAAAAAAACTCCAGCTTTTTGAGTCAATGGTACCAAGCTTGTCAAATGCCAATCCGTGACTTCATGTTGTGAAAATGGAGCTCTTGAGACTGGATAGTTATCAGCAAACAGATTTGCATCCAGCAGTACTGTATATGTCATTTGTTAAAGCATTTCATCTCCCATGATCACACTGAAAACCCAACCTGGATTTTAAGTTCTCTTCTTCTACTTAGCAGTTTACAAAGGCACACAGACACCCCTATATTTTACCAGACAGGCTGTGTTAGTAAACTAAATCAAGTTTCAATAGATTCAATAAACTAACCATACAGAAAAAGAAAATAGGAAAGTTATTTTTCAATCGGTTTTCCAATGCATTTGTAAATATGGCAATAGGCATATACTGCTGAGGTTTTTTTCAGCAAGTGCATGTTACAGGGTAATGTGTTGTTACATGGTCAATGGCATTTAAATTAAAGTGTGTGTTTTGCAGATAGGATCATATGTTTTAAGAAAGGAGTCTCAAATATTTTTGCAGGAAATTAATTAGGCCATACTTATTATTTTGGCTTTGATTTACTGATTACAAAGATGACAAATTAATTTAACTTATTTCTTATCTGTATAGCAAGAAACACAGGTCTCTCATTTTTTCCTGCCAACTATTTATTCATATCAGAACAACTCTGTCTGTTATAGTGAATGTTGACTGGGAAGCTTCAAAGTTCATGCCATAGTCTCCCTGTTTTGCTCCATGGTCATCTTTAGCCACTATTAGTCTGCTGCTCATCAACTTTTATTTTACCTTGTCCTTTGACACTTTTACTGAATCTATCACTTTGCTTGCTTTTTCTTGTAATGTGTTTCACCTCTGCTGTCTTTGATATCCAGCTGAAGATGGGAGGGATGTTTGCGTGCCAAGAACAATTACATTCCTTTTATTTTTACTCCTTCAACAACTTTTCATTCTATGTCTTTGCAATTTACTAATACTGTATAGAAGAGGATCTGTGGCAAGCTGTGCAACCCTGTGCATGTCAGTACCTACCTGAAATCTTTATCGTTTTCCTCTCATGCAGTATGTGGTAACATTTTCTATGACCTCCAAGTCTGCTCTTTCAGACTGCAGAACACAAAGTGCATTTGCCCTCTTCTTATAAGTGAAAAAAATTTTATTGTCTCAATGGCAAATGAGGTTGCTCTCGTTTCACAACCAAGTGAAACTTACTGTGTTTGTTTTTATAGCCAAAAAAAGAAAAAAACCACTCACATTTTGTCTTGTTCTTTTCTCTCTCTTTAGCAACTCCTCCTTTATTTATCCCTACCCACCTCTCCCACCCTTAAGTCAGTTTTCCCTATGTTCTAGCACCTTCCTGGGCTGCTTTTCAACTTGCTGTTTATATCATGCCTATATGTCTTCCTTTCGTTTACATTTTTTTTCTCATGTTTCCTATATGGCAAAAATTGTCAGCAGCAGTTGATATAAAATAGAAAGATAGGTTCTGACCTTTGAAATTATTTAAATTGTCACTAGCCTATATGTTATCAGTATAATGCTGCAATTGTGCTGTACTAGGCTTGTTAATACTGGTAATGTTATATATGCTATTGATAACAGTAACTTGCAAGCTATGATTAGTTCCTTGATCAGCTGTCATTCTAAGTGACCTCTTGAGGACTAGCTGTTTATATGATACAGGATCTCATCTCTGAATCCATAGCTGAAATCAACTAAGTAAAGATTAAAAAAAATATATATATTTTAGTTCTTAATACATCTTTTCTTTGTGAGAAGTTACTCTCATTAGTCTAAAAAGAGAGATTATTTGCATTGTTATTATTGCAGGTTGGAAAGAAACAATCTGAGAGACAGTACATGTAGCCAGAACTTTGGATGAAAACTAAACCTTTCATCAAACTGTTTTGATATGATGATAAACACATTATCACAGTGGACCAGTTAACAGATGTAGCCTTTTGTATGCAGAAATTAATTTTATTTTGTTCCTAGTATATTTTCTAATATGGCATGCCACAAAGCAGTGTTATTAAACAGAACTACTGCTGTGCTGTGCACTGAAGAGTCCTGTTTTGTGCCTTACATATAACTCCTAGCAGGTTACTCCCACCTTGTGTAGAGGTGCCTTGTTCTACAGGAGATTTGTGATCATTGTGCTGAAAGGATACATTACTGCTGACATTCAAGTTGAGCTGACCAAATCCTTTGAAAAAACTCTTTTCTTCTCCATACTGACTGCCAAAGTTTCAATAGAAAAGAATAGTAACTTGAGCAATGATCTATAAAACAAAGATGTGAAAAGGGTATAAAGGACTTTACTGGTAGACAGGCAAGTAGGCACACGTTTTGCAATTGTTAGTACAGAATGATGTGTCTTCAATCTGTGACACATGTAATGTTGGATACATTTGTATTTGCTTCTGGAAAAAAAAAAATCTTCCTCTTCTGGGAAACTATTCATTCCAGAAAATGCAGAGGGGGAATATTTATAGAAGGTGAGAAAATATTTTGGGTTCCATGAGGAGTGAATAACGCATAATTCAGTCAAGTGTAAATGACTTAAAAGGAAAATGTCTATGTAAAGATAAGCTACCTGGTAAATTTTTTCCTGTTAAGCAGTAAATCAGCAAGGTACATGTCAAAGATAAACTTTCAGTTCAGAATTGTTCTAAATCAGGATCTTGGCCTTGAGAATGTGGTTTATTTGGTCTGTGCATATAGTTCTAGACTGTAGATTAAAAAAAAAATTGCTGTGAGTACTCCCTTACCAGGCCGTCTTTGCTCTGTTTTACTTCTGTTTGAATATATTGTCATCACTCCAAATCTGGTGAAGTAATTTTTGAAATCTTGGTTTAGAATTACGTATTTTACAATTTCATGTATCATCATAAATCATTAACATTTGGGTTTGTATTTCATTGCAGCGGAAAACAGATGTGCCACTTCAAATGCAGTAACATGCACAAAGTGTCTTGCTTTGGGCCCTGAGTGTGGATGGTGTGCTCAAGAGGTATGTTACTTTGGTTACTTACATTTGAATTTATATTTTAGCTGCTTCTGATCTTTATAAAAATAAAGACTTTTAAACTGAGAAAATTATAGTGAGAAAGAGCAAGAAAATTTCTAAATGACCCCTAGAGACAGAACCTGAGAAATCATGTGAAATACATTTTATTTCCAAAGGAGAAAATGCAATCTTTTATTTGGAAAATTGCAGTAATTTTAAATAAAGTGAGAACTCTAATGCATTCCATCTGCTTTGTAGGCAACTCTGGCAGACTTACAGTAGCTTTAAGAGTTCAACAGTTTTTGGCTTCAAAAGGAAAATTACTTATCAGTAATCTATAGTAAGTCCTCACTGGTTATGAAAACAAGTCTATACATATGTCTACTGCGTTTAGCAAAAGGTTGTACTAACAGTGGAGTTGACTTTGACTTCACCATGTATTATGACCCTGTCACAAGTGGAAAAAATGATGCTTTTCTTATTTTGACGCTTGAAACTATCAGTTCTGAGACTTAGCACCGAAGATAGATCTTAGGTAACAAGAAGTATTCTGAAATTGTTCTTGCTTTGCAAACTGTAAGAATATGGAAATTTCTGGTGTTGTTTGACAGAAAAAAAAACCACTTGATAGCATGATTCAGATAAGGCTGGACCATTTTAAGTACTTCAGAGGAGCAAGGTTTTGAAGAATATCACTGACAATTACAAGCTCATATGCTCTTTAAAGTCACATGCAAATTATCGGTAGTAGCTTTCAGGTTAGCAGAGAAGGTAGGGAAGTTCCTAGGATGTGTCTGGAGGAGATAAGGAGTGTAAGGCATAAGGTACTGTGTAACTTTATCTGAGATATTGTGTCTTGGAATTATTAACTTAATCTGCAGCAGGTATAATGATAAGTAATGCAAGGATAAGTAGAAGCATGAGGGCTTGTTTTCCAAGAGGAACCTTAGGGCACGTGTAGATGGCACAATGGATTACAGCGTGGAGGGGTTCATTATTGTGGCCTCATGTCCTGTCTTACAAAGGGCACAGTTTTATCCTCCTCCCTCTGTATTTATCACAGAATAGCATTTGCTAACTTTCCAATGCTATGGAGCTGCAATAGGTCTGCTTCTGACTAGGTGCGCAGATTTGACCAGGTTTCAATTCTGCTTTACTTCTCTTGCTTAGCTTCTTGAATCAGTCCTGAGAGCTGGTCATGAAGCCAGGGCTTTGCTGAAACTTCTTGGACAGCCAGTTCACCTACATAGCATTTATGGTTGTGGAATGGCAAAACCCATATTAATGCAGACAGAAATATTCCAGAGTATAGTTACAGGAGCAGTTTTCAGCTTAGCATGCTTGCTTCATCTGAACAATATTTTTAGTGAGAAAATATGGCCCGAGTAACCCTTGAGATGCACTGAATTTTTACTCCCACACAGTGGACTTCAGAAAATGCTGCAAATCTATCAGCATGACAGTAGCTAAATTCTTTATACATTTAAAAATCTACTTTTTTGAAATGTATATATGTCAAAAAGGGTATATAAATAGCAGTAACCTAAAAAATAGTCTCTATTTTCTACAATAAAGAAGACTATGGAAAAAATATATCAGAGGTAGACTAGAACTGGAACTTGAAAAACAAGATAGGTGACTGTCAAATCTCATTCTTTAGGGCCACCTTCTGGTCTTTTCAGGGCCTGGATGACTATTTATTATCTACATAGAATTGGTTGTAGGCACTTTTTGATTATTTATTTCACCCATTTGCCTCTGAAATATCAGAGATTGTCCGTTGTTTGGTCTCCAGCTGTGGCTCAGTATTTTGAAAGAATACAAAGGATCTTGTCTTTTTTTTTTTTTTTTTTTCTGGTCAGAATCATGTTAATCATCAGATTTGTGATCAGGAAGGAATTTTGTATTGGATCATTTTGGCACAATTTTGGCAACTTTGCCCTTTCAATACAACAAAGGATGGGCTGCTTCTGAGATCATCCTGCTACTAATCACTTTTCTGTTGCTAAAAGGGCTTTTTCATGTTGGTGGCATCTTAAACTGTCCAGTCCTTTAATACAGAGTTTCATTTTTCTGGGAATTGAAATGGTATAGTCCAGCAGGTGTTTGGATTTTGTGTAGTGTGATAGACAAACTCAGGTTAGCTAAAACTGAAGCTGACTTCTGGTGCTACTATTAAATATTAGCCTGAGTAACGTTGCCAGTGGATTCCTCTGAAAACTAACCTGTTTCGATGTCATGGAAATGACACTTTCTCACTATTACAAACTCATAGCCTGGCACAGTACTTTTTTTGGAGACATAGTGACAGTATGTAGTTTCCTTTTTCTCCAAAGTCGGCTTGTTCTGATTGTGCAAGATCCTGTTTCTCTTAAAAAGTTTTGTCTTCTGTAGAAAAAAGTCATTGTGGCAGTTAGGTTTAACTTCTAATTTAAATATGTCATCATTGCCCTTATTAAAAACATATGGCTTCATGGAGTTGTTCTACAATTTTTGCAATTATAGTAGCATATTTTATTGTTTCAAAGACTATTATTTTGTTTTTCTCTTTCCTTTGAAGATATTACAGGGTTTTCTTCAGCTCGGACTGTTTAGTACTTTTTGTCTCTTATTAAACAGGATTTCATGGCTGGCACAACACAGAAGGGACGCTGTGACATTGTTTTCAACTTAATGAAAAGAGGCTGCCGATCAGATTTGGTTGAAAACCCCAAAGTTCATGTCACAATACCCAGTGACCATGAAACAAATACACAAGTGACACCAGGAAAAGTTTCAGTCCAGCTGCGTCCAGGTTGGGTCATCTGATATTATCGTAATTTAGACTAAATACGGTACTTTTAAGTACAGGTATTTTGTAAAGAAGCATCACAGTTAGTTACTTTGAAGAATGGTGCTAAAACATAATATTGTAGGACTGTGATGGTGTTGCTCCTATATTCAAGTATGGTCTTCAGTAAGAACTGTTTCTATTAAATATAGCTGAAGGTCAGAATAATGCAATAAGTGGAGAAGGGATTTTAGTAGTCTTCTGTTTTCTGATGTAGTTTCTTGATTCTTTTTCTTTAGCGACTTACACAAACAGTTTTCCCTTACATGTGTATAAACTACACCTCACTGAAAATAAATTGAGTTATAATTCCTAAATTAATAATTTTATAAACTTCTTGATTATTTGGTTACTTTTAAGTTCATTAAGTAGACAGCTACAGAGACACCACTGCCATGATATAAGAAAGGACTTCTTAAAGGCCTTCAAAAGAAGACTTTGGTATTCAGTCCATAACATTTAATTTATAAAATATGAAACACTTGGCCTAATAGAAGTTTCTTTGTAAATCTGAGATTTTCTAGTATACCGCTATTTGCCCTCAGCTGAACTCTAGTTAAGTCAGTGTATGTTCTCCATCTCTAAAATAGCTGTAGCCAACAGCAGAAGTGAAAGATTATATAAAGGGATGCAGAGTTATCTTTCATATCATAATTTTTTTTTTCAGACAGTAACTGGAGAAAAATAGTTAAGAGGGATAAGTCTTTGGTAGGAAAACATTAAGTGATCAGAAGTATCTTGCTGATTTTCACTGATAATTCTGTCAGTGAGAAAACAAGATAATTTTCTGTCAATTACAAGGGAAAAGGATCTGCATGAGTATAAAGCACAAAGGAACTCTGGTTTTCAATCTTTATAATAATAAAACTGACAAAGTAACATCAGTATTTTCTTGCCTTTCCCCACTGTCCTTCCAAAGAAGTGTTTGATACTCTGCTTTTTTACTGAGAAATGGTCTCAGACACTGAGCTAGCTCTAGCTCTGTCTGTAATCACATTTATTTCCAAAGGCACACTGGATTCATAGAAAAAAATTGCTTTCTAAAATTTGGTTTCATTAACCTTTTTGCAAGTAAATATTGAAACTAAGTTTGGGGTTCCATATGCTTTGCAGAAGTTCTTATATCAAGGAGGCAGAAGATTGAAATTCCAAGGGCTCCAGAAGAGCTTTTTATATATAGGTATCTTGGCCATATTTTCTGCCCCAGGGAAATACACAGATATACAGCTATAGTTTTGCTTCAGAACAGACATTTGATACAGTATAATCATGCAAACAAAGATGTTTTTGTTTTGATACCGTTTGGGGTTTTTTTGTCACTGTTTACATGTGCCCAACATTCAGGATTTATGTGGGAAAAAATAAAAGCTGCATTCAGTATCTCGCTATGTACAAACTGGAGACCTGCAAGAGTAATTTACAGAAAGTAATTTGATTTACATTGGCAAAGAGGAAATACATTAGTTACAGCACACTGAAATTGTTTTCCTCACACAAGACCTGATACAGACAAAGCCTGACTTTTTCAGGTGGATTATGTTCAAAGACATAAAAAAAAAAAAAAAAAAAAAAGGAAGAAATTACTTTGTATATTGTTGGAAGAAAAAACTTTGTAAAGATTCAGGACGGATCTTTGTTACATGTGCTCTTTGATAGTTTTTTATTGAAAACCTGCATAGTTCTTCTATAACATCTTCCTTCCTCCTATCCTTTGCTGTATCTTCATAGCATAATACTGAAATTAGATTCTGCACTGATCACATGAAGATCCTAAACTATTTCTTTTGTGAGCTCACACTTTAGGTGACATAAAATAATGACCAATTTGAAGTCTGCATTACTGTACCTGCTCGGCCTATATTCCAGTCACTTCACTATTCTTGCTGATATTACAGAATATTAGACAAGCAAAATGTTAGGACTAGTTTTAGCAGCTTCCAAAGCATTAATGTTTTTATTACATGTGAGAATGTGCTGTGGTTCTGCAGGAGAGACAGACATTTATCATCCTCAAATGAGAGTTCTGTATTGTATATGCCAAGAGATGGAATTCTTTTTATATTAAAACCTATTTTTTAAAAAATACATTTTAATCATACTGAATTTTCTCATCAAATCTTCAGAAGTAGATTATGATAAACTTGAAGCATTATTTACATGAGTTTTTCAGGCTGTGCTGTCTTTATGGTTAATACATAGTTTTAGATTCTGTCGTATGACAAACTGCTTGCAGGATACACTTACGTACTTTAAAGTATCAACCTTGAAGTGACTGACCCCAATTTGTATGCAGATCTGTGTTCTTTGTGAGCAATAACTGCTTTTTGGTATAATGCCAAAGGAATTGCATAACCATGAATTTAAAAGATAATGGGGAGAAGTCAGATTTTTACAATAAATCACACAGTGCTCCTGCAAGAAATAAAAACAAGATGTTCTACAAAAGACCACTTTTTGACTTATTTTTGAATGATTCTTCAAGGTTCCATTTACTCTTGGGAGATTTTCTTGTTTGTTTGTTTTTCTGTTTGCTGACACAAGCAACTTTGTGCTAAGGTTGCTACAAATATAAATTTATTTTTAATCATGTGCATTCAAAAATAGTAAATAAACTTTTTTTTTTTTTAATCAGGAAGTGAAGCAAACTTTATGTTAAAAGTTCGTCCTCTAGAGAAATACCCTGTGGATCTTTATTATTTAGTTGATGTCTCAGCCTCCATGCACAACAATATAGAAAAATTAAATTCTGTTGGATTTGCTTTATCTAAAAAAATGGCAAATATTTCTCTTGATTTTCGACTTGGATTTGGATCCTATGTGGATAAAACCGTGTCACCTTATATTAGCATTCATCCAGGTAGAATCCATAACCAATGCAGGTACGTAGTCTTTTTATATTTACTGTAGCACTGAGGTGTTATTTAATTGCACAAAATACATTATGCATATTTATTTTTAAAGTTCTGTCTTTGTTTTCGTATACATACGGTTCTTTGACAAGGTTCCTAAGGAAATGCTAAAAATTATTGTACAGTGATTACTTCTGAAATACTGGGCGAGTAATTTGAGAAAACTGTTTCTGTGTTTTCTTTAGGAAAATAAGCCCCAAAAAATGCTGCTTTGGAATATTTGAATAAGTTTTGCATTTTATTTTAAAGTCAATTGTTGTGGTTTTGTTTTTTTTGGATATACGTTGCCTAGATTCATCACAAAGTTTTGTGCTTTCTGACCTATGTACTTTCTGGTGTATGGTCACGTATTCATTAACTCTTTTCTTAAAACTACTTTTGTCAACATGGTGTGGTTACTTTCAGCTCATTTAAGGAACAAAAGTGATCCTTTGGTCTAATTCCACAGTTGCTATGTCAGTGAACTCCCATTTTAAGTAGGAAAGATGTTCTGGCCTGCATTTCTTTTTTCATGACATGCCTTATATACCTTGTGTTCAACGCTTATGTAAAGTTAGGGATCACTTCCAAAAGCCCCTGGAGTACAAAATTATTCACAACAGATTCAAAGCTGTGTAAACCATAATACTTGGAAAAGTGAATATTAATTCTTCATACTTTCTTGCTTGTTATTATCCTTCCTGGAAAGACATGATCCAAAGTTCTCTGAAGTACCTTTTTTGGTTTCAGTGGTTTTTGAATTGGGTACTAGTAGTGGAATTATTCAATAGATATGAATATTTATGTAAAAGCAATCATCTAGATCATCTATAGATGGAGATGGATTAGCATTTCTAGGTCATGATTCGTTTTGCCTAAAAGTAGACATCTCCAGAGGTATTAATCGTTACAGTGCCAGTTTCTCTTCCTTGACTGCAAATTGAGTTGGAGGAGGGCAGGTTGCAGACTGGATGCCTACTCTGTAGGCAACAGAAGTTAAAAGAGTTGAAAGCTGTTCAGCATCTCTGGATCAGATGAGCACTTCAACTTGTGCCATAAATCAGTGCCATAAATGGGTCAATGACCTGTCTGAGTGCTGTGACATTACTTACATCAAACATCATACTTTCTCCCTTATGCATAATTTGAAAAAGTATCATTTACAACTATGATGTTATTGAAAATGGAGTTTCGCTTCTCTTTAATGAGGTAACTGTTACTAATATCAACATTAATTTTATGTGCAATTACTTAGTATTAGTGCATGTAGGAACTTAATTTTTATTACAGTTTGATCCAGTAGCCTGTGTGTCAAGCTATTAAAGGATCTTAATGTTGTGGTGTGATAGTCTTTTCTCAGGCTAATGAAAAGCAAAGCCGTACCACTAGATATTCCAAAATATACTCCCTGAGATAATACCATCACTCTTGTTGCATTTCTTTTTGTTCTCTACAGAAACACTCTATATGTACTGTTACTATATTAACTGTTATTTTCCATAAAATTCCATATAATAAAAAAAAAATGTTTTTGTAGTAAATTAGAAGTAATTCCCACTAAACTTAATATTAGAAGTAATTCACACTAAAATTAATCTCACATGAAGTTACTCTTTTTTTAAGTGTTACTTATCCAGTGCATGTCTACATCTTCATTAATATCAGGATTTTATGGGTTAATGAAGATGCAATATTTTCATCTCCTTCAAATGGAAAATAAGGAATGTGTTAGACTTTTGATTTGTTTTGTTTCTGTACAGTGATTACAATTTAGATTGTATGCCTCCTCACGGTTATATTCATGTGCTATCCCTGACTGACAATATAGCAGAATTCAGAAATGCAGTGAATAAACAGAAAATTTCTGGGAATATTGATACACCTGAAGGGGGTTTTGATGCAATGCTCCAAGCAGCTGTGTGCCAGGTAAGGAGCTTATTTACAAAAAAATAAATAAATAGTAGTTCAGGCAATATATATATATATATATATGTATATATACACATATAGGTATAATGGTGCTCAGAGTTCATGAATTCAAAACGTCAGTTCTATGCCTAATCATTCTAAGGATTCTTCCTCCTTTTCCTTTATTTCTGCCTTAGTTATACATTTCCTATTGAAACTGACAAAGGATGGCATAAAGGAACATGTTTCAGTGTTGGTTATTGATCTTCAAATTCTGGCTTTAACCAGCCAACATGGGATGGAGGATGAAAGCAACTGCTTCTTGCTTGAACAGATGCTTCTATTAGTTTCACTCAATTACATAATTAGTTTCAAAAATCATTAAAGTGCTCCTTGACATGTCTTCTACTTTAGAATGTACTTGAGAACTGAAGGACAGTTACATATCTTCTTGTAAGGAGAACAGAACTTCGATTTCTCTGAGCTTTTAGAGATTTTTTATTTTAAAGTAGTACAAATCAGCTAAAAATTAGCTTCCATGTATTGATAAAATTTCATGCAGAAAAGGATGGAAAAGATCTGCATCAGTAGTTCCCAAGCTATAAGTGTACCTGATAAAGGGAGTTTGTTTTGCTCTAAAGAACCATTTTGGATGTTGTTTTTCTTCTATTTCATAGTAATGAAATGGAAATTTTGAAAGTTGGCTGATTCACGGGTTTGGTAATGCTCTATATGATACTCTTTCAGTCCTCCTAAAGTAATCCAACTCCTGTTCAAATCACAGGCTTGGTGTCTTTCTCATCTCCTGGAATGATGTCTGGACAATTCTTTTATCTTGTCCATCTTCACATCATTTTTTTTGGAGCAGTATAATGACTCAAGGACAAAAAGTAATCCAAGCTAAGCTAAAGATGAATAGTTGGTCCAATTTTATTTTCAGATTTTGATGAACTGTAAAGCAGGTAAATAAAAGCCACTCTTCATAGACACTGTGATCCCAACTGCTTAAAAAAATTATTGTGTAGCTTTAAAAAAATTCCTTAAAATCCAGTGTTTCCCATTGGACACATTCCGCACTTATGACGTGTGAGTTCTAGAATAATGTATGCTTCTGAAAACAATAGAATGGAAACATTCATGAGAATAGGAAGGCTTTCCTGCTAACTGAATTGTGAAGCAAAATGGATGAGAACAATGTGCAATTCATAATGACCATCATGAACTATAAATTATATTAATGTGCATTCATTTTGCCTACAATAGAGCTTTATAACTTGCTCCATCTTGCTTTAACCAATACATCCCCTGTTACAAGACTTGGCAGGTTAGGGCATGAAGCTACTTTAAAATTTTGATTGCTATGACATATGTAGATAGGAATCATAGAATGATAGAATGTCTCAAGTCAGAAGAGACCTATAAGGATCGAGTCCGACTCCCTCCTCCTCACAGGACTACTGAAAACTAAACAAGTCTCAAGGTAACAAAGTCAAATGGTGGAGTATTAGGAGCAAGAAGTTTCTACATTGCTGGGGGAGAATTTGGAGTTATTTAAGATAAAACCTGTCTATAAATAAAATTTAAAATACCCCTTCTTTAGATGAAGGCTCTCTAGAAGTGGCTGAGGGAGGCTCATGCCTAGCGCATGAGGTGGAAAAGACATCACACCCCTCTGTACTTGTTATCCTTGCTGGTAAGCGATATTTAATCCCCATTCAGAGCTAGCAGGGAATGAGCCTGAGAAGGGACCTAAATCACTCTGCAAAGCAAAGCAAGGAAGGTAGAGAATAAGTCATGAAGCATGTCTGAGTACATGGACTGTATTGCAGATAAACATTTCATGTGAGGTGGAAGACACCTGGAAGTGTTACAGTAAATGGTAGAGATGAGATACTGTCATAGGAAAGAGGAACAAGGAAGGAGGAAAAGCACGAAAAATGTAAGTAGTGAAGAATGTAAGATGGAAGAATTGAGATAGGTAATTATGAAGAAGCATAAGAGGTGTTTCATGTGTGCCTCAGTACTTTGATTATAAGCAAGGAAATAAATGTTTTGGAAATATGGATATGGCAGCTAAATCAGTTTATACTTAACCTGCTACATCCTTCACATCACTAAATTCCTAAAAGAGATTAAATTCACACTTGAGGGTGCAGCTTTGCTATTAATCCCTTAAGACAGTGGAGAAAAGTAGTATTTTGCTGCCTAATAAGGAGTTTCTCAATTTGCAGGTGCATGAAGACATTCAGACTTCAGTTTATTGATTTTTAATCATATGCTAATGTCCTTTCTGGAAACTTATGTAGGTAAAGGAAATTACAGAGTGCTAAGAATATAAAGTAAATAAATGCAAAGTAAAAATAGGAGAGGGCACCAAGTATCAATATGTATGAATGCAAATTTGCTGGTTGTAATGTTTTCTTGGATCCCAGGGAATTTTACAAATGCTGTACATTTGCATTTGTATGTAATAATAACCCACACAATGTGGAAGCTCTTACCCACGCCTACTATATAAGGCATAACTTGTATGTATTTTGGAAGATCTTTCTTTAAAAAGCAAAGAAAGTGGGAAAAAACAAAGTGGTAAGTGGATCTCTGACTGGCAGTGGTAGTTTTCAGATGTAGAACGTTATATCTATTTCCACAAAAAATGTTTCCCATAGCCTGGTTTAAACTCAGTGCTGCTAAGCAGTGTAATACCTGAAAGTAGACTTTTGCATTAATTTTTCATTTTGTTATTGATTATTTTAGAACTAGATAGTTACTGCTTTCTTATGCGTAATTTTGTTTTCTTTTTAGAGCCACATTGGATGGCGTAAAGAAGCAAAGCGATTGCTTCTTGTGATGACAGATCAAACTTCCCATCTGGCCCTTGATAGTAAATTAGCAGGAATTGTAATTCCTCATGATGGAAACTGTCATTTGAAAGATAATGTATACATCAAAGCTACAAGTATGGTAAGGTATATGCCATAGATTTTGCCTTAAGAGAGGCAGTGTAAAACTGTGTAAAGGAGGTTTTTTTGACTTTTGTTAAAGCATTGCTTTTATTTCAGTCATTAGAATAGTATTTTTCCAGGTAGACAAGTTTTGAAATGAAGAATTAATCACCTGGAAATATTGACATTCTTTTTGTCTAGGATAAGATATTTTGGGGTCTGAGACAACAGCACAGCAGTACAAAACATGTGACTGGTTTTGGTGTGTTTTTTTGTTAGCATCTCATAAAAATCACACACATTTTATATAAAATATAAATAAGAAGTGTCTGGTGTGATATTTTGCACAAATAGAAGCTGGTAATATGTAAGAATTGCACATTTGTGCTAGTTAGACAGAGGTATTGATTATGGTTTATGGTCAGAAGATGTAGAGTTGTATTGGTTGAAAAGGTTTGGTAAAGCAGGGGACATAGAACAGCAATGAGCTGCTACAATCATGATGGACTAGCATTAAATGCATTTATATTTCACAGTATAAAGCCAGTGTGTGGTAATACGTACCTGTGCAAAAAGTTGTATCAAATCTGCTGTAACAAAATAATATGCCTTCAACAAGTATTTTTAGCTCTCAAAATATTTTCCTCAATAATGTATAAAATAGTTGCAAGTGACTGAAGACAGGAATTTTTGCCTAAGAATTATAGATTTTAATTGCTCTGGTTATTTTCTTAAATAAATATTAGTTGTTTATTTTAGAAACATGAATCAGTAATTAATTGCCATTTAATTCCCAGAAAGTAGAAATATGAACTGTGGTATAATTAGAGCATCTTACAATTTTTTTCTTGGTGGTAGGTGCACTTAGTTGAGGCACAGAGCCTGCATTCAGCTGCAGCCAGCAATGTGCTAGTGAAGTCAGTGAGGGCTGTGTGTGAGTCTAGACCTGAATTTAATCCCAGCAACTGTTGTTTACAAGGATAGTGGGGCAGCAGGAAGAGACTGCTGGATGTTGTGTGATCATGAAATATGGGAGGCTTCTGGGAATCGGTGGGTGTTTGGGACCTTGCTGAGCGGAGGAGGGAGATGAACATGTGCTAACAGGAAGGTTGCTTGGATTTCCGATTATCTGACATTCTTGTGTCCATATTCCCTCACAGATGTCAGGGTTTTTTTTATTTCACTCTAGTCAGTCTGTTCAGTGTCCTTGGGATAGAAACAAACCCTTCCCTTATTCTACTTACAGCAAATAATCCCAAAACTTTCCTTTCCCAAAGCAGAGCATACTCTGCTTTTTTTTTTTTTTTTTCTCCCCCCTCCTAGTTGCCAGGCTGAGAAGAATTTTGCTCTGCTTATTAAACAGTTGCTAAAGGTACAAATCTTTTTCTGGTGTTCAGCATTCCTTTGGTAATAAAGACATTATCTGTTTCAGAAAAAAAAAAAAAAAAAAAAAAAAAAAAAAAAAAAAAAAAAAAAAAAAAAAAAAAAAAAAAAAAAAAAAAAAAAAAAAAAAAAAAAAAAAAAAACAACACCCACACTATTTTTATTTTCTGTCCGGGGTAAAATACAGACAAAATTAATGAACCTCTTTCTAAGCAGCTTCGATAGACTGATGGCTGACTGAAAAAAAAGGGGTTTTACTGATATTCTAGATTCTGGTTTGAAAGGTCATGATCTTACTACCCCATATGGAAAAAGAAATCTCCATGATTACTGGTATTGATGCATTTTATGAAGTATGATTTTTTTAATCACCCAAATTAAATGACCTTGTCATGTTTACATCTGTAGTGGCACATTTAGGCCCATGTATTTTCTGGCTGATAACCTTTTTTTTTTTTTTTCAGCATGGGCTAATTCTTGCATGCTCACATGTAGGCATGCACTTAGTAATAGCAAAGGGTTATAATGGAAATCTTTCTCAGCACTGCATATTTTCTGGAGTAGATTTGACATGGTAACACAGTATTGTCTGCGAGGGAAGGTGTGCTGCTTTCCTATTTTTTTTTTTCTTCTCGTATGTGGTATATGTGATTATTTTATTGATAGATATCCACACAGAAGCTTCAAATTAACAAATAAATTTAGGGGGGGAACACTATTTGGTATTTAAATGAAATATCATGACAGTCTGTCAGCCTTTTGGAAAATACGTAATATGAAATATATTTTGGGGTTTTTTTTCTTATAAGTGCAATTTTTTGGGCTATCCTAAATTAAAGAGACTTCTCTAATCACATTGTTTTCCTGCTTTGATTCTTAGCTTTTTGTAGTCATGAGAAGATGGCATTTTGGCATATTTTTATTTCTTCCTTGTGCCAGTTCAGAGGACTGTGCTTTATTTATTTGCTTAAGCTTAATCTTTACATCAAAAATGTTTCCACTTAGTCACTTTTCTGCATGTTTCTTTCTAACTTTTGCTAAGCAGTCACAGAGAGGTCAGCAAAAAAGCATAAGACAATAAAGAAATCTATTCCATTTTAATTAGTGTGCTTGGTTAACTCCCTTTCTGAAATACTTAATGTCTACATTAACTATCTTCTCAGTTTAACACAGTAGGTTAAAATAATAAAATGAATGATGTAATTGAAACAAGAAAAATGATCTAAAATGAAAGTACATGCATCTGAGCAGTAGTGGGAAGAGATAAGATAAAAATACATAAAACACAGCAAGGTTTTCACAGCAAGTAAAGTGAGGATCCGTGAGTGACCTCTTGTACCTTATGTCATCTCTTTACGTGCTTAAAATTGAAAAGATAGTGTGGGTTTGTTGATGCTTTGGGGTTTTTTTTAAACTTCTCTCTAATAAAGGAAACTATTGCTCTCTTATGTGAAGTATGACTTTAACATTCTGCTTGCCAAGCTGGACACTCTGATGAGTTATAACTCATGAGTGGACGGAAATTCAGCTGTACATGGGAGCAGATGAGGTAGTCTGAGGATCCGGTCGCTGCTGCTCTTGCACATCTATGCATGTCATCTCTTGACTTCAGTAAGGTCCATCTGAATCTGGTCTAGAGTCACGTCTTAAGCAGGAAGACTGACTTATTTTGCCGCCATCTATGAGCCCTCAATACTGCTCCTGTCATTCACACATTTACAGTGGGAGGTATTTGCACAATGTCTGGCTTCACTTGCCCTTGTCCTGGGACCAATAGGTATCCATGATCTCTCAGCATGTTGCATGTGGCCTGTAGGGTTGTGCAGCACAACGGAGGCCCCACTGAGCTTTGTGGTCATGGAGAAGGAAGGAGGGCTTAGGACTGTGTTGTAGGCTACTGAAAATGACAGTGAAGCCACTGATGCTGCAGTTCACTCACGACTGCTGTGTAGTGGGAATTTGTTTTCCTAACTGGTCCATGCTCTCTCTCCAGTGAGCCTGGCACGCTAGAGAGTGCTAGAACCTGATCCACTGGCTGCATTTAGTTGATGTGTATGACCTCTGGTGCCAAAATACAGTTCTGAGAAACAAACTTTTTTTTAATTACTGTCCTTGCTGTTCCCAGAAGCACACCTCATCTCAGTCCTTCATGTTGTATTTTCTCCCTGACTTTTACTCAAGAACTCATCTGTCATTCCCAGGAATCTTGTTAATCTTCTAGATGGACCATGAACAACATCAAATCCATGTTTCTTAAGCATCAGACTCAAACTAACAAAATAATACTGTATAAGTTAGTCCTCCCACTCTGCAGCAGACCTACATAGTTGTTTCTCTGATGATTTTTTATTTTTTTGGTTAGGACCACCTTCTTTTGAATGTAGGTCTAGCATTTCTCTGTACATTTAGGAGTTAAGATTGGGGTGGTTCTGGAACCCTGTAATGTGTCATATGTGAAATATAAGGTTTTCCCCTACTAATATGCAGTATTCTCTTTTCTCTTGTATGTTGCAGGAGCATCCATCCCTTGGGCAGCTCTCTGAAAAATTGATTGACAATAACATCAATGTTATTTTTGCAGTTCAAGGAAGCCAGTTTCATTGGTATAAAGTAGGTTAGAAACCTGATTTCTTTTTCCAATTTTGAAAGCACAATACTTCTACTAAAAATTAAAACTGCATAAATTATTTTATTTTTCATAGGATCTGTTACCTCTGTTGCCTGGTACTGTTGCAAGACAAATAGAATCACAAGCAGCAAATCTCAATGATTTGGTGGTAGAAGCTTATCAGGTATGACAAGAGTGACAATGGTGTATGCCATATTTGTACAGACATTTTTCACCTCTCATAGCCTAAATCTTCAATTGTCAGGCTCTTGGCTTCCATCCAAAGTCCACAAGAATACATTCCCTACTTGTCTTAGTGTCCAAGTTGATAGGTGACATTATCTCAGAATAGCTTTCAAATTCCCCAGCTGACAGGGTCTCAAAGCCAAGAGCTAGTGCTTTTTTATTTCTAAGGATGCTTCTGAATATTCTGTTTGATTCTGTGCACCTGTTGCTATATAACTTCAAAAGAAATATCTGATTTACTTGAATTTTGGCACCCCAGATCTTCAGTTACAGACCAGACACCACTGTCTAGGCACCATATAAATTGAGAGCAAAACCAGAGTGCAGTATCTGGAGGGTTTTGCAGAATAATTTTTAAAAAGCAGACAGCAGATGGGAATTTACAAGAAGGTAGTTTGGCAACAGTGGATATTGTGAAAAGCAATATTTACACTGCACAAAGCAGTGTAATGACTTGGCATTTTGAGGCACGGCATTGAAGAAGAGTTTTGATAGGGATTTGGGAGAGAACAATGGAAATGGCTTTGTGAACTTGCCTGGAGTACTCTATTGAATGTAACTGTTTGGGAAAGAGAAAGTAATAGTATAGGAAAAAGCATAAAATCATTTTCCACAAATGACTGAAAAAGAATGGCAGTTTGAAAGTGAAAATAGGCATCTTGATAGTGAAGGAAAGAGGGGGCATAAACAGCTTTGAAAATGCACCAAGTACTATACATTTGATGTACTAGAGCACAGGGAACCCACAGAGCAGTATCAAAATGAACAGAAGGGGTTAGATGGTTGAATATTGTTAAGTTTTGTAGGTACACAAACATACAGGTTTAAAAAATTGAAAACTCAGCTGCAAATCTATATCCAGTGTATCCACGTGTCACTTTTTTTTTTAATTAGTTGAATTTGGAAGGCTGAAATTGCCCATTTTACTTGGTTAACCATCAAAATCAGGCAGTTTCCTTTCAGCAAATTGGTTATAATGAAGAGCCAACCCCCATGTCTATTCCCAGTCAATAGAGTGCTTTTGCACACATTTTTCTCCCTGTCATGCTGGAAAGCAGAAGGCAAAGACATTCAAAAGCAGAGGAGATTAGGTGTAGTCAAATTACAGAGAAGTTCTCACTGATATTGTGGTTCCTCTTATAAAGTTGAGAAATCTCATTGAATATGGAGGTTTGCAGGAAGTTGATGGCAAAAAAAATTTGAAGATTGTAGTCCTTTTGTATGGCATTTTTACACTGTCCATCCTAAATTGTAACATGGTTCTTACCCGGTGCAGGGCAAACATTCAAGGAGAGGAAATAAAAATTTACAAAACAATGATTTAGTTCAATAGGACTTTGGTGGGACTTTCCTGGTTCAGTCACTCCTTGTTTGCTCTTGCCTTACTTTCATTTTTTAGATAGTATCTTCCTTCCCATCCTGAACTTCACTGTATTTGACAGTTTGAGAATGTTATCATATCAGGGGCTTGTAATATACAAACACATAGTGAACAAGACTTGAATGTATTGCTTTTTTGAAAGAAAAAGTACTTAGATAAGAAAATAAATTTTGTGTTGATAGTCAATGGCAATGGGCCTCCTGTACTCCTTTTTTAGGCAGGGAAACCTCAGGCTTAGTTATGGAAAACCCTTGCTGAAAATCCCTGCCTATAAAGCCAAAGATGAGTCACTAATTTTCAAAAAGTTACTAAGATAAACACATTCAGATTCATGTAATTACATTTCCATTTATAGCAGTAAAAATATCGCATAAACTAATTTTTTAATAGTAATATGCCACAAATTTAAAAAATCTCCTTGTGCAATTTTCAGCTCATAAGTTTGTAAGAGCTGTAATAAATTTTTAAAAGGTCAAGAAGCAACTCGTTCTTGGAAGGAAGCAGGATTTTAGAGCATGTAGTAAATGCAAGACAAAAAGTAGGTGGCTTTTTCATTATTTTTTTATTGCAAAATGCCTAATGGGAATCACCCAGTTGTTGTCTTATATGGTCTTAGATGACCCAAATAAATCAGTAAGAATAATCCCAGTACCCTTTAGATCACTGTAAGGTTTGTTCAGAGAAAACTTTTCCAAGGCAGATGCAAAATATCAGAAGTTTATAAAGTGTCAAGTCAATTAGGAACCTTTTCTGTTGGATAACAAAAGTTGTATGTATGTTTACTGTTGTATTTTAGATGTGTGGCTAAAAGGCAGTGTAGACTCAAACAACAGGCCATTTTTGTTGGACACAGTTCTTAGAATGCATTTTCAAATTGAGAAAAATACAGTCCCGAAACCATTTTAGAAAAGCTGAAAACATTTTTATCTGCAAAACCTAATCCTCTTTGTCAGAATTGCCAGTTCACTGGTTGTGTATATTTGGAATGTAATCGGGTCTTTAGACAGGAAACAATGCTTTAATTCATTCCTTTATTCACACAGACAAGCTTTCTTCACTTTTAGTCAGACACAGTAGCCATACTTGGTGTTAGTCACTAATGTACATTATATTTTGAGATGCAATGTGACTAAAACTTTTTTTCTGGTTACAGAAACTAATCTCTGAAGTGAAACTTCAAGTGGATAACCAGATCCAAGGTCTTAATTTCAATATCACTGCAATCTGTCCTGATGGAAGTAAAAAAACAGGCATGGAAGGATGTAAAAATGTGGGATATAATAAAGAAGTATGTTGATAGTTTTCATTCTTCAAGGAACTGGAATACTTATTTTTCTGTTTGGTTGGGTTTCAATGGTGTGAAATCTTCTAGGGATTTACTTAAACTGAAAATGGATTTATGTGATTAATGATCACAGACTCTCTATTATTCTCTGAGTTCATTTGTCCTGAATCTTATTTTAATTCTCACTAATCCCATGGAACTAAGGCTCAAAGCTTTTCCTGAAAGCTAACGTCCATTAAAACTCCCCTTCTTTGTCCTCCACTGGGAACAACCAACCATGTTCATTGTGGTGAAATCTGTACGTAAAGAGGTGGAAAGATAATCACCCGGTGAAAAAGAATCACTAGAATTTGTGTTCCTTGGGTCTGTACTAGACGCCACCTTTCTCTCTTCTTCCTTTAGTAGTCTTCATGCACCATCAGGGTTGTAGATAGATAGTTTATTTTATAAATAAAATTAATAAAATTTTTATTCCCATTTGGGTTGGTGCCCCCTACTGAATGAAACGGAGCATCATGCACCATGAAAAGGCAGGGGAAGATATCTGGCTAAAGTAAAGAATATGGTTTTCTTCCCAGAAAAAAATTCTCTGTGCCTTGATATATTTATTTAATTGCTTGGACTACTGGAGTAATTCCTTTAGCTTGCCAGGAAAAGGTCTGTGTTTTCTGGAGGGCAGGGTCAAGGAGTTCTTTCCTGCTTGACGTGTACATATGTCTCAGCTGGTGTGATTTTACTTACATTCATGTGTAGAAATAGAAAAACAATTCAGTAGATGAAATGTGTGAATTGTAATATATATTTCAATGTATTTTATGCTCTTTTGAACTTTGTCTGCATGCTGCTGATTAGCGTCTACAGTTTATGGGAGATTTGCTCTGTTTTTCTTCTTAACTCATCTCTTGTCCAGTGTTGTTCCCTGTCCATGTCATAAGAAATAGGACTGGAATTTGTTCTGTTTAATGAAAAGAAAAATATTTATATCTGTTTCTTTTTAATAAAAAGCCAAGCCGGTTGATTGTAAAAGATTGCATGTGGTGCACTCTACTGCTGTTGAAAATGAACCACCCTTAAGAGATTAATTTATTTTAAGCATAAATCCTTCTTTCAGTATTTGTTTACAGGCAAAATTCTTTTCCTTAATTCTCACATTCCTTTCATTGTCTAATCCTTTTTCCTTCCCTTTTTTACCAAAACACAAAGTGTATTTTATTCTGGAAGAATCATGTGACTTCTTTGGGGTGCAAAACTAACTTGGCTATTAGTGAGTGTCAGTGTTGTTGGTGTTGTAATTATTTAGTCTCAACTGGTATAATCTTTCTAGTGCTCTATTCAGACCTGTCATATCTCACTACTAATACACAAGACAGGATTTGCCCTTCCATCTCTCTCCCATTCCTCCAGTACTGTGTTGAACATGAAGATGATGTTTTCTAGCAGGGCTCTGTGTTGAATAAAAAACATTCCCTAGCTGCATCCTGTCCTCCCTGTGTGCTACACACCTGCTGTAAGAATTAATTTCTCCATAGGCACACTTTTGTCCTGTAACCCAAGGGAAGAAATCCCATGCATGGAGAGCATAGGCAAGTGAGGGGTTATGTGTGTAAAGATGCATTTGATAAACAAGAAGAAAAGCAAAGGGTGAGATAAAGCCTGTGTGCCCCCTCGATATGACATTAAGTGCATGCTTCTGCACAGCATTCTTCTCCTGTTGTCCGTGTAGGCAGCCGCAGCCCCGCTCGCCACAAAGCCACCATTGTCCCCAAGGGCTCGGCTGTTCTCGTGTGGGGGCGCAGCGGGAGGGAGAGACAGTGATGAGAGATGAATGGCCTTAGTCTTTGCGGGTAATTTCAACCTTATATGTAATCAGTTTCTCGGGGTTTCTGGTTTTTTTATTTGGAAATTTTGGGTGGTAAAGAGTAGAGATATTTGCTTCTCTTGGGTTTCTTTCTTACCTCTTCTTCTTGGTTATATTTTCTCTGTGAGGAGGCAAGAAAGAGTTGTTTAGCATCAGCAGGCTGAACAAATGTAAAACCTTAGAGAGAAAAGCATGTCAGAGGCCTACTGGTCAAAAAACAAACAACACCTATGAAATAGAAGATTGGTATCCAGTGAAAGTATCACATATGTCAGAGCTGTCACAGAGTTTTGGTAGTGTTTGATGCAAACTCTGTGGCAATTATCTAACCACCAAAATGATCCAGGGTCCTGTGCCAGGACTCTGGAAAGCCATGGGAGCAGCTGCTGCAGTGTGCACTGCTGGGATGAGGAGCTGGAGCATGGTGATGATAGCCATGGCATGGCCAGGAGCTAGGCACTGGGTCCACTGAAGCAGAACTTGGTCTGCCCAGGGTCACAGCAAGAGAAGGAAGACTCTCTTTCTCCATCTCCATTGTAGGAATTGCAAGAAATAATTTGCTGCTAGGGTGTGAGCCATTTTCTGTGTTTTAGGAGGAGTAGATAGGGCCATCCAAATAAACCTGTGTGGTTTCTCTGTGCATTACCATTTCTGCAGAGGAACTTTCATCATAGATTTTTTTTCATGAAGGGTATCTCTCCTTCTGTTTGTTTATTGTCTTGCTCAATCTAGTTCCAATTCTCATCAGAGTATTTCTGTGATACAAAGGAATTTACACATTAAGTAATGGCAGGATGATGATGATAGTGATTCTATTTCCATTGAACTTTAATTAAACTTGTCTTTTGCAACTATGCTATCTTAATTTGAAAAGTAAACTGCTGTCAATCTTCTATTGTTAGGATTTTGACTGTATTTGTGATGCCTCTCATTACTAAAATACCATTTTTGACAAATGACCAGTGTGTATTTTGCTATTGTTAGCTAATGCATATTCATATACAATCTAAGATTCTGCTTTATTTATATGTTAAAACTTTAAAGGAAATTTAAACAAGGAAATAATAAAAATATAAAATCTTTATTTCTTATTAGGTACTTTTCAATGTATCAGTTGCAATGAAAGGATGTCACACAGCTGGAGGGAGAAAATATGCCATACTTAAGCCTATTGGTTTCAATGAAACCGCCATTGTTAATGTGCAGCAAAGCTGTGCCTGCCAGTATGGAGACAGCACAGACCACAACAGAGTATGGGCTGATGAAACTTCTGACAGCAAACAGTCCCACTGCAGTGACAGTAACTGTAGCTCTCACAGAGAAGACACACTTCCTTCAGAGAGGTGCAGGCAATATCAGGACCAACCTATCTGCAGCGGTCAGGGAAACTGCATAGATGGAAAATGTTTCTGCTACAAAAACAAGCTAGGCAAGGTGTATGGCAAGTACTGCGAAATGGATGACTTTTCCTGCCCATATCACCAGGGAAACTTATGTTCTGGTAAGCTGCAGAGTTTATGGCTGTATTTTCTTGTTTTGTTTTGTTTTATTTTGTTTTCTGATGCTAATGTACATAGTGTATCTGACAACAATGATGTAAGGCTGTCAAGTATGAGAATTGTTTGTGCAGAATTAGTGTAGGAAATGTCCTCAACATCCTGGCTGGAATTCACACTCCTGGACATTCTTCACCACGGAGATATGCACTGTCTCCTAAATTTCAGCCCTGCTTTTTAGGGGATACACTGATTTTTTTCTAAGTTCAGCTGATTTGATACTTAAATCAGAAACTTTTTCATAAGTAATGATACTGATATCTCAAACAAAACAGTAACATTATTCCAGAAAGCAAGTTGATACATTTCAGTCTAATGGGAATATGAGATACTAAGAGAGTAGGAAGGGATCATAGCTTCCAGATGAGATTTTGATTTTCTGACACCCTAAATCAGTCCTGGGAGAGATACAGTGACACTTGCTTTCAAATACTGATATAAATGCTAACAGTGGTCCCAACCCACTTTGCAAATTTACTATTTCTTAACCATAAGCAGACCTGTCTAACTTCTAAGCTTCTGTAGCCTGAGATGTGGTACCCTGGTTGGCAGAGGAGGCAGGGACTTCTTGTCTAAGAGATGTTGGAGACTGTCATTGTGATGGAGTCCTGTTCTAGGGTACCACAAGGGGAACCTGCTGCCCAGGGCCATGGCTGAGCAGTGAGATGTTTCAGAGTGCAGAGCCTTGCTCTGCTATCTTCTATGAGCCCCTTTCTCCCTCCATTTTGCCCAGCCTAGGCGAAAAAGAGACCAGCCTATACCTTGGCCTCATTTCCATTTAGAGGATCCTGTCTGTTGGATGGAGCTGTCTCCCTGCAGCTCTGTGAATCCCTGGATAAAAAGAGCCATTGCAGTTTGTGTGAAATTGCCATCTATGCCATCACATAGATGAGGAGACATCATTAGGTTTGCTATATAGAATCATACAATCAGATGGGTTGGAAAGGACCTCTGAGATCATCAAGTCCAACCTTTGATCCACTACCATCACAGTTACCAGACTATGGCACTAAGTGCCACATCCAGTCTCTTCTTAAATACCTCCAGGGTATCTGCCTGTGCTTTATGTGTTTTCTATTTCTGTATTTTTCTAAAGGTGCTTTCACAGGCTCTAAAAACATGGCTAAATATTATTAGCACATCAGTTGTGGTGCAGCCTAAGTGTGCTACAACATAGAAAACATATGGATATTTCTCTACAACTCCTACTTCTTTATCTAGAAAGTCGTAAAGGCCAACAGAGGTTCTTCCCAGCCTTTGTTTTCTTGAGGCTGTGCATTTTAAATTCTTATTAAACAACATACGGTTCATAAGCACAGCATACCCACCTGTCCAGCTCAGTCATCTATCCTTTAGAAAGGAAAAAAAGAATTTTAAAAAAGGAAAAGAAAAAAAAAAAAAAGCAAGGGGAGGGAAAGGGAAAGGGAAAAGGAAAAGGAAAAGGAAGAAAAAAAGAAAAGAGGAACAACTTGGCATGTGTGCGTGAACTTGATACTCATTCCTCCGCTGAGTCGTGCTGTTTATTTGAATTGAATGTTTTCTTGCTAAAGAGAAGTTTGTTTAGTTTGCCTGAAGACTATTTTCCTCGTCATTGTGTAATTTCTAATACCGACTCCTTTCATCCAAGGCAAGAGGGAAAAATTTTAGTAAAAGGTTTTAGGATGACATCTTGGTAGTAACTTTTGCTTAACTTAACAACTAGCAGCTATAAATATATATCATGCTGGTAATTTCAGCCCGAGTTGTTAACTTAAAAACTAACTAGAAAGTCAAGGTCTAAATTAGCTCTGTTTAATGTAAAGCACCAGTGAAACAAATGTGTGCATCTAAAAATTGATTTCCTATGTTTTCGTAAAAGCATATGACTCAAGACTCTCTGATGTTGTAGGTAATGGTGAATGTGAAGGTGGTAAATGCAAATGCTTTGCTGGCTGGGAAGGTGATCGTTGCGAGTGCTCCTCACAATCATCAAAGAACTGCCTGAATTCAAAGGGCCAGATTTGCAGTGGAAGAGGAAGATGCATATGTGGAAAGTGTGAGTGCACAGATCCAAGAAGCTTTGGCCGTTTGTGTGAATATTGCCCTACTTGTAACAAAGCCTGTGAAGAAAACTGGTATGTTTCTTGTGCTAGACTTGACTTTTTACCTCTCTAGTGTTGAAACATGGAGAAATATTTCTGCTTGGCTAGATGCGACATTTCTTTGATATTTGGGCTGTAGGAAATTGAAACAATATATACTTTTCTCTCTGTAGCTGAGGGATTCATACTGGGAGTTAAGGGAATTGCATGTCCACATCTATGTTCACCAGTCTGTGTCTAACTTTCAGCTTTCAGAAGCCAAGGGAGGTGTATCCTATGAATATTGTTTTTTCATAGTTTTATCAAAATATCGATGTTCATACGAAATCTTCTGAGTAGGAAATAAAACTTATGAACTTGGAGTTTTAAAAAGGGACACTAGATACTACTTTTGAATTCCAGAAAGTCCAGTAATATTCTCCAAATATGTTTTTGCACACTCCTTGTGCTTCTCAGTTGAAGGAGGTATGGAACAAGAGCAGTACCTGTGTATTGTCACTGCCATTGGTCAGCAGAGCAGAGCTGGTCTTACCCAGAGGACAACATTCTTTGTTACTCAGTTTTAAAACACTTAGTCTCTGCCATATCATTTTTCCTTACCCGTGTAAAGGAGGGAACAGTGTGGAGGTTGAAATGAGCAGTCCCAGGAGAGAAGCTAGATTAAGCTCTCAGTGGCACACTGCATGGTCCTGGCATAGAGTGTGAATGAAGCCCTTGGGCACAGCTCTACTACACCCTCTTGTCAGCACATATAATGTTTTGCATCTCACTGTGGTGCAGAAGATGAAAGATCAGCCTTTCACTGTAAAGGGCATTGTGCTCAAAACAGAATCATTGTTTATTTGTATTAATTTGAATTATAGCTCTTTGAAGGAAATGCTCGAGAGCCAAGCTTGATCATGTCCAAAAGAGTGAATGCTACGATTTCTCTAAATAAAATGCAGTTAGCCTTTCTGGCTTACACTTGTTCAGAATCACTGTGAAATGTATGACTTTAATAAATTTAGAAGATGGCACACCTTTGTTAAAAATTCAGCCAGGGCTTTTTCAGGGTCTCATGTGATATCCCTTTTCTGCAAGGCTATACAGTGGAGATGGCAAGACTGAAAGCACTTCCTCCCACTGTGCTGCTGTCTCTCTGAACTGCCCGGCATTGCAAGCTTACTTGACTTTCTCTTAACATAGCATCCAAAAATTATTGACAAAGCTGTGTTTTCTACACCTGTCTCTACTCTTCAATTCCAGCGTGCATCCCAATGAGAGTGATATAAAAGGAAAGACTAGGACTGAACTGGAAGCTGAAAGCTGAAGAAAGGGCGCTGGACCCTTAGCTACACCCTGTGACAAACTTGCATCACAAAGAGCAGAGCAGGGATCAGATGAAGGTGGCTCAAAGCCAAAGACATATTTTACTTTACAGTTTCTGACTAGTTGGTTCTGAGAAGCATCAGAGAGATAAAACACTGAGAGAGGTATCACATTTCAGAAAAAAAAAAAAATGTCACAATGTTTTTACTAATGAGAGGAAAGCATTATGTGCAAGCGTTATGTCAGCTTGTTGATACAATCTCTTTAAAAGGAGTGCAGAGAAAGGCATAGGTTTTTAATTATATTTTTATTTTACAGGAACTGTGTTCAGTGCCATCATTCTAACAATACATCTCAAGCAATACTTGACCAGTGCACAGCCTCATGCGCTTACCTACTGCATTATGTTGACCATACTTCAGGTATGTGACATTTTCTAGGTAATTTTAATAAGAGATTAAAATCTGTTGGGATTACTAATTGAATTCACCACTGTTAGAATGCCTTTCAAGTGTGTCATATTATTACAATAACAACGAAGGCAGGAAAAAGAGAAAACTCACTCGTAGCTTCGGGGAAAGTAAAAGATAAATAATAACAGGAAATATGATTTCAAGCATTGCTAAGTCAGATTTCCCAGCTCCTTGAGAAGTCACATCTAATAAAGATGAATCCTGCCTGAGCAATGCTTAAAGAAATATTTATAAAAATCTGTTATGGCACCTGTATGTTTTATTACTTTGGATATGCTTATATTATTTGACATCACTAGAAACAAGGGAAAAAGAAGTAGAATGCTTACCTCAAGTTCAGTAATGTTTGAATAATCCTTTCAAGTGTAAAAAACTGCAGTTATGAGGGCTGTGGAAGAATAATTACTCTTTTTTTTGTAAATAAAATCTCGTAAAGCCTAATCACTCCACACAGCAACAAAAATGCAGGTAAATGTCACTTCACATTTATGTGCACCTTTATATCCTGTAGTTCATAAATGAGAAAACTTGAATATTTTTCTCATAACTTTAGTATTAATTAAGGAAAGCTTACCAAGTGAGAAAAGTCTACAAGTGAGGAAAATACTGGACAAGGATTCCATAATGACTTTCATATTTCACCAGGGATCTTCACTGTCATCTTGTGAAGATTAAATTCGCTTCACCTCAAACATCTATAACATTTCATCCTCTCTATTTCACTAGTCTGCAGAGAATTCATGGTGGGCAATACAGTGAAGCTTGAGTCTTAATTCTGTAGATTAAAAGAACAATAGTTTCATCATTTTTTTTACAGTAGATCTTAATCTGAATTGTTTTTCTTGATATGCCCCACTTTAAAAGCCTACATATGGCAACTTTTCCTCTTAATTTCCCCTAAGTGATTTTCCCTCATTTTTTATCAGGCTCGTGTTACATTTATGCAACATTACTATGCAGTGGTAGATGTACCTGTGTTAGAGGGATGTGCCTGCTCCATACATTAGACTTTACCCTTGTGTTTTCCTTTTGTTGCAGAATGTTTCTCTGGACGAAGCTACTTTAGAGTCTTTTCCATAATCTTTATAGTTACCTTTCTGATCGGGTTGCTTGTTGTCCTTATCATCAGGCAGATCATTCTGCAGGGGAGTAGCAATAAAGTTAAGTCTTCATCTGATTACAGAGTATCTGCAACAAAGAAGGTAATTTATTTCAGAGCTATTGTGTTCAGTAATCTTTTTCTTGCATATAAAAGTTAACTAATTGTTGACTAAAATTATATCTTCTCCTTCAAGGATAAGATGTTTTTGCCTACAGTTTGCACAAGAACAGTAACATACAGACGTGATAAACCAGAGGAAATAAATATCGACATCAGCAAGTTGCGATTAAACGAAACTTTCAAGTGTGAATTCTGAAGACTGTGTGTTTTCTGCAAATTCCATTTCCATCAGGATCAACTTTTAAAACGTTACCTTTTGTACTCTGTGGGAATCTTGACTGTCGCCACACGGTTTTGTTTTGTGCATTTTGTTGAATACTGTAACTAAGTGTCCTGTAAACGGATTCACATTATGTGATTTTGTTTGAAACTATAGCTGCTGTATTTTTTTAGGGTTTTTTGAAAGAGAAATGTGCGTTACTACTGTTCAGAAACATTAGTGTTGATGTAGCACTTTAGCATATTCTAATTTATTTAGTTATGGCGTAGAATGTAGATATGAACCAGTCTGACAAAGCACTGATCTCACTCTACATGTAGCTAGTACTGATGTGCTCTGTGGGAATGGACAAAAGCTGTGACTGAAATATTAATATTGCTGTATATTATAGCAATAGATTAAACTATTAAAATGCTCTTAAATAGAGCAAATGGTACTTTTATAGGTCTCTCAGATGATATATTCCACCGATTTATCTGCTTTAGCCTCTTAGCTTTTCCTCATAAAAATGAATGGATTAAATGAGTATTTAGTTAACTGGTGTGGGTCTATAGTTGTGTGTGTATACACACACCATGCACACGCAGGTAAATTAAATACAAAGTTTTTCATATGGATGATGTCACTTAAAGATAATTTATATCTAATAAAGAGTAATTTTTAGCTTTTTTATTTGTTTAAACATAAAAAACCCTTTTATACAAAATTTAAGGTATTTGGAAACTGAGTGGCTACAGAAAATGAGAGTTTCTCTGTCCAACAGCATAGTCTACATGATGATCACTATTGGCTGACTTCACCTTTAGAGTCAGCAGCATGAACCCCGTTGCAAGTAGATAAATTACACCAGAGCTGTGTTTGGTTTGCTAGCTACATGTCAGTGTTTTGCCAAATAAAGGCTTTGATCTTTTTGTATGATGTCAGGAATGTCTGATTTTACACTTGCTCTTTTTCTTTATGTAAATTAGTTGATGGGATTGGGTTTTGTAAATTTTCTTGTAACCACTTCATTTTTTTTGACTGTGTCTTGAGAAGTGTGTCCAGTGTGATGTGGAAAAGAACCTGCAGTTCAGAAGGTGAGGAAAATATGAGTCTTTTTCTCAAGGGAACACATTAGTTAACTTCATAAATGTGGGATCAGATTCTGCCTTCAGAAATAGGCAAAGCTGTTCTAAATATGGTGGGACCAATATAAGCCTATCTGACAGAAGAATGTGAGCTACAAGGTCACATAGAAGCATTTTTTTAACCCTGAAATTGACTGTAATGGTAGAAGATTATTATGTTATATGCTAGTTGGAAGTGTCAGTCTGATTTACTAACCCTGTGCTGCCGAAACTCCACAAAAATCTGATCAACCTCTAATGCTCTAAAATCTTGCTGGCAAAAAGAAAACTCGTCTCACAAGACAGTGTATCATTTTAGCAATTTTTATTGCTAATATGAAATATTGGTCTGTATTTGTCATAGATAAGAGTTACAGAAACAAAGCAAGACCTCCTTATGTGCAGTTTTTTAGACATTAGTATATATTGCCTATTCCATATTTCTTCTGTAAATTCCCACTAGAATCTGAGGAATATGCATGTGAAAAGAAGGCAGGATGCAGAAGAACTGATAAGTGTTATGTGAGTGTTCAGTTTCTTGAGTAATTGAGCGTATTGAGAAAAACAATATGAAGACATTGGCCTCTTCATTAGTCATAAAAGCTCTAGACCTTAGGGATTGGGTGTTTTTTTTTTAAACCTGTAAACTGGACTATTAAATGTTTCTAAAGCAGTCTCCAAAGTAGGCCCTGAGCTTTCTACCATAAAGGTAAAAGTCTCATTTAAAGAAAAGGGTGTTTCCTTACACTGACTCTGACTTTAGTGATAGCTTAATTGTAGAACCTTAGTTATAGATAATTCTGTAGTCTATCAAGTATACCTTAAACTTTTGTTTTCCTTTAAAAAATTTAGGACCATTTTCTTTCTGTGTAAATTAACAGATTCCAAAAAACTGGTTTCAGTGGGATAGAGATAAAAGATTGATAAAAGTTTCCCTGCTATTACCCTTATCACAATTCATGACTATTTGTGCGTAGCAAACAGTCTATGGTTGTCTGTTTCACTTTACCAAAAAAAAAGAAAAAAAATCAATGCTCAGTGGTATTTTCCCACCATAATGCTTTAAAGCATTTAGTAAAGCTTTTTCAGAAGTGATAACTTTTTTTTTTTGTAGAAATTACTTTTCACTGCTAGAGGCAGTTAAATTGTGTGAGTAGGGGACAACGGAGCTGGGTTCTCAATTGAAGAAAGATTTGAGCTGTAACACCCATCTTCCAGACACATCACACTGCTACTGCTTTTCTTCTGTAGCACTTGGTTGGCATTGCGGTGCTGCCTGTGAAGGGGCACGGCCAGTATTTCCTTATCAGACACCTGCCTGAATGTTTAAAATGCTCTGGTCAAATAGAGTAGGCTCACGGGACCAATTGCACTTAAGCTGCTTGCTGTCCTGAGATTAAAAAATGTACATTAGGAAAAAAAATTTTTTTAAGAAAAAAAAAAAAAAAGAAGAAGAATAAAAAGCTGTTTTGCATCTCCCTCATGGTTTTGCTGTATTGTGGAGGAGGCTGGTGAAAGAGAATAAGCTGCTGCTAATGTGACAGGTCAAGGCTTTTAGAAGGCCCGTGGGGAGCTTATACAGAGCAGGATTCTTGGGAGGAGGCTTTGTTTCTAGGGATGGAATCTATCCATGAGAAACTCTGGCTTTGCTTGGTACTTGTTTCCCTCTGCCTTTGACCATGTTTTTCAGAAGAGCTGCTGCTGGAGATGAATAGCTCAACAAAAGCCTCACTATTTAGGGAGTTGTGTTCCCTCAGCACATGACCTTAAATGAGAAAGCAGCCTGTAATTCACAAAGAATTTCTTCAGTGATTGGAGAAGGGCTCTGCTTCCTATAGTGCTTAATATGGGAGATATTAAAGACAAATTAGTTCACATTAGTTTTCAATGTACTGTGTGTCAAAGATGCTCATAAAAATGGGGGGAAAATATCTAACCTCAGAATAGAACATTCCAAACTTCTCAAATAAAATTTCTTATACTAGGCTTCTTCAAAAAAAAATTAAAAATAAGTCAAATAATTCTACTATGTGCCTATATCCAAAAATGTACCAGCAGATACTGTTGCATTTCATAATTTTGGGGGGGAAATTGTTTTTAGATTTGTTCCCACAAATAGAGCATGTGCATGACTTTTTACAGCATAAATGTTAATGTTAAAATACATATGTATAATTTTCAAATGCTAATCTCCCTTTTTTTACCTTTGAATGCTTATTTGCCTAACATTTCAGAAATTCCATGTTTATGCAATTAAAAAGCATTCATTTTACTTCAGATGTTTTTAAGTACTGTAAAATGAGGAAAGCTATGAAATTATTATTTCCAAGCATCATGAGTACACTAATAAGATTGCTGAAGAAGTGTGTGGGAAAATAGCTGTTTCATCCAGAAAACGTGCACATGGTATGCAAGGAATTTTCATTGTGCCCAGCTGAAATTCCCTTACATTTGCAAGGAATGTTAAAAGTGAACCTTTAAAAGGAAGGATGTTCGTATGGGCATAGTTTACATTTTATACGTTATTCTCAACTGGATTTATTTTTTCCTCTCTATGATGTCATGAAAATCTGCTATGTAAAGCATTCTTTGTACTGCAATGGAAAAATATTATTTTCCCAGTCTGGTCATATATAGTATTTGTTTCCTGCTTAGCGTGCATACCTAAATGTACATGTTTTCCAAACCATGGGAGTGAATGTATGAAACAGCTTCACGCAACCCTCAGTCCTAAAACTAAACATAAGGTCTGGAGATGTCCAGGGCAGACAGATGCAAGGGCGTGACTGCTTGTGCAGGGGACTTGAAGAGGGACGGCAACCTCAGTAGGTGCAATGCTGGGCAGAAAACCTCTTCAAAGTAGATTGGTTGGCAGAGGTGGTGCCCTAGGTTTGCATCCTAGGCACTTGTCCACACACTGGAACTGCGTAATGTGCAGTCTGAACTGCAACACTGCAAATATTTCACATCTGTATTCATCCAGAATGCTTACATGGGACTGCCTGTAAACTTGAATGCTACGGATCTCCGTTAAAGCTTCTGAGCACCTGCCCATTGTCATTCCACCAGCCCTTGGATCTCCACCAGTCAGCCTTAAAGAGTGTAAGCTATAGCTGTAAAGGGCACTTCTCATAGAGGCATTTGTGCTGTGTCAGTGCTGGGTAACACCTAACTCTGCTTTGACAGTGAGTGATGAGTTGTGCCAGTGTTCCAGTTGTCCATTTGCAAGAGAGGGGAAAACAGAAATGAAGCTGTAGTTAAGAAGAACACTACATTTTAATTATATCTTGAAACTGCTCTGATGCACAGACATCTCTGAGCTCTTATTGAGAGCCATCTCAATTCTCAGAGAGCCATCTCTGAGAATTGAAATGCATGGAGAGGGGGGGGAAAAGGTTAAAATTAGGCAGTAGGAATGCATCTCTATAGTGAGCCAAATCAGTGGGGTTTCAGAATGGTTGCCCTGTCTGGGGGAAAAAAACATAACAACCCCTCCCCCCCCAAAATTACTAGATCCTTAGGCTTTAGAAATGCTGCTCTGGATTGCATGTTCTCTTTGTTTCCTTTTCTGTACACACTTTAAAAAAAAAAAAAGGTACCTACTTATTAAGAAAGAATTGTCTGGCATTTCTTAAATTAGTGGCTTCTGTCCAAATCCTAACATTTCATCCTGATACCTATATTGTGTTTGAGCTGTTTCAGTTGTATTTTGAAGGGAGTTGTTGAAAGAGTCTTTTGGAGAGGCATTAGAGTTTGATGAATTCACCATGCTAACATCTTCGCTCCTGCCTACTGCTGCTTCAGAAATAATGCTACTTTTAAGTGTCTTATTTAGGAACTGTGTGACAGCTAATAATAATACTACAGGTTTTAACTTTCTATTTAATGTATTCTACCTTTTGTAAAAAGAAGTATATAGAGATAAATAATTTTGTCTAGATTTTATGCATAGAGAATATTAGTAAGGGAAGAGGTTTTAAATTCTATAACTTCTTACTGCTCATTTTACATTTTAAATGATGCTTTTAAATCACTACTTTTGTTTGTCTGGAAATATACTGAATATTATTTAAAATAGTATACTTTTATAGCTGTTTTATTAATTTCAGTTGACTACTAACTTCTATTTTGATATTTATTGAGTTGACACTGTAGTATATTGAGATGTTTATTTTTCTATCAGAGCTGTAACAACTATGACATAGCATTATTTTAATGCAACATCATTGTACTTGCTCTCTAAAAAATAAAATCAATATTTAATCCATGTGGATTTTTTTCATATGTTTAATGTGTCTGTGATAAGTAAAGGAAGAGATGTTCACCTCCTTGAGGTGAACTATACTGTGCCCAGACTAATAAAATTCAAAGAATACGGTGTTTATCAGATGTAGACAAACAGGAGATGTATGTTCAGGATGAACTTTGAGAAGGTGGGAAGGAGCACAACAGCACTTACCAGTTTGGAGACGGAGCTGGTTTACCTTGCCCAACCCAACTGAAACATGAATGCACCAGGGGGTGTTGGTACTTTGTAGGGGACAAGAAGATACTTCTTATATAAACACAATCTTTAGATTGATAGGTGGTTGTGATAGCCTTTATTCTGCTTTGCTTTGTTGGGTGGTAGAGGAACAGGCTTTCTGGAAATGGGTAAATCTCTCTGTAATGCTTCATTTTTGCCATTCTCTGCAGGTTTAGGTCACTTTGTGAGTAGTGGTGAAAATGCATCACTAGCTGGGGAAGGTGACACACATTCTGTTCTTGAGCAGAATCAGTCATAGTATGTGCTTTGCACAGTGCCATGAAATCTCCTGAAAAGGACTTTAGACATGCTCTGTGAAAGGACATTCAAAATTTTCCATGATGCCTCAGTAAGAGACATCTGTGGCACTAAGACACTTGTCAGACATCAATGGTAAAACTATCTGCCCATGCTTCTAACATGATCCAGCTTTTGCTCTAGGAATGAGAGAGAGGGCTAGAATCAAGTGACAGCTGATGTGTGCTCACTCATTACGTAACTTAATGTCCAAGACTTAGCAATAAAATAGAAAAACCAAGGAAAAGGTGTGCATCAAAATTAGAGAAAAAAAATGTAAATATCACAAGGATAGTCTGTTAATCTTTGTTGCTTCTTTTGTCAAAGCATATAACATCATCCCAATATATGCCTGATGAGACTCTATCTGAGAAATTTCTTTTCACAATGCAGAAGTCAGCCTTCAGTGAGACACAGAGCAAGCACATGCAACCACTCCTCCAAAAAGAAATACTTATTTTCCTTGAAAGCTCTTCAGTAAACATAAACCTAGACATGAATTTCAGACATATAATTCAAGCATATAACTTGAGCCCGAGCCATAGGCCTTCATTTTGCCATTTGATAGTAATCTTGAAACTGAGGTTTTATTAACACTTAAGTCTCCTATAGACAGTGATTGTGGCCCCCAGATGTGTTGCATGCTCTGCATGTTGTGGAATGATGGTAAGTGATTTGTATAAAGTCTCTATTTCTTTCTTCCTATATCCTGAAATCCATCAATTAAGTCATGTTCATATATCTTTAAATATCCAGATAATGACAATTAGGGTTTTTGACATTAGTAGCATTTTATTTAGTCAATTTTTATCCATATCTACAAAGTTATCAGCAAAGGCACAGTAGTGCCCTAATTTGTTTCTAATGTAATGCAACTACTGTTCTGTTGCAGATGCCAATGACAAGGAAAAGGCTTGCTGCTCAGACTCTCCAAAGAGGAAAGAAACCTAAGTTACAGCCTCTTAAGTCTGGTGAAGGAAGGACATCCTCATTTCAGCCACATTTTTGACACCAGTCATGTAGATGTATTCTGTTACAGAACTTCTCTGCCTTCATGATTCCTTTTGTGGTAGGTGCAGAATTTGATCCAATACTCAGAGAGGATGGCATTAGGGACAGTTGGCTTGAGTGAAGATCATGAATATGCATGATGGCAACCAAAAGACGATGATTAGAATTAAGAGTAAAAACTTTGTTAACAGACTGATTTTGATAGTAAGAAGTTAATCTGAAAAGTGGGTGGGTTTTTTTGCTTTTAGTCAACTACAGAGACAAAAACCTCGGAAATACATATCTGCTGCCCTGGGTTTAAAACCAAACAGTTTAATGTATTGTATGAATTAAATTTCTAGTTTTACAGAAACCCAAATGGTCTGAAGCTTTGATTAGAGCGCAGGTGCTGTCACTGTGGTGCAGGGGTTTCTGGCTGTTCATCTTCTGCTTAAGAGTCTTGGAGTGGTCCAAGTTGGATTGAACTGTACAGAATTCATATTAACTAGACACAGGCTGACAGTCTGATTTATTAGCACTAAAGAGGCCCCAGCATTATCATCTGGCTCTTCATTCCAGGGAAACTGTGATGGATGGCAGAAAGCAGTATTTTCCTTTTTTTGCAAACCCTTCTATCTCCTCAGCACAGAGCATGGGCTCTGATTATTTTCTTGGCCTTGAACTGCATGATTCATGAAGGATGGTTACTGTTTAATAAAGATGATGTGTATGCAAGCTGATAAAACTAAATTATTAACCACAAAAGCATAGTAATGCCAAGTTATGTCACATATACTTACTGAAGTCAGTGCACGTGATGTATTTCTTTCAGCTCTGGAGCTTGCCAAGTTCCCCTTTGGGGGCTCTAAGCCTCATCCTAAGCCTCTTGTTTATGACTGAGCAATCTGGAAAGCCCAGGACCCTCCAGTGGACTGTTTCTGAGTGGGATTCCTCTGCTCTCAAAACTGCTCATAGGAGAAGCCTTTCCCACAAACCCCCTTCTGACTCTTTAGCCTTTGACCAAAGCCTTAACACGTCCATTCTGAAAGCGTCACTGAGGCTGTAAGACACGTGGTTGAACTGCTGAGGAAACAGGATGTTACAGTGGATGGTTTTTTCACAGTATTTGTAGGCAAACTTTTGCTTTACTCTGCTCTAGACTGATTGAGAATTTCAAAGTCTCCTACAACTTAAACATGGTGCTCCGTAGGTTATCCTTGTCTTCAGGAGTGTTTAATGTTGGCTTCTGTCCTTGAACCATTGTGCAGCTGCACCCAGGCTCCTGTGGGGTAAACAAACAAACAAACAAACACACACACACACACAAAACAAACAAACAAACAAACAAAAAACCAACCAGCTAAAATAAAT